AAGGGGCCAAACAAAGACAAGTGGGGGGTTGGGGCCGATATGGGTTTGCATGATAGTTTTGAGGAGTTTTAGAGCTTAGGGTGTTGATTTTCAAATGTAGGGCACGGGGTTCAGTGCGGACGTTTGCAAAGAACATTCCCAAGTAAAGTATGGATTTTCCCGGCCTTTTCTGCTCAACGATTTTGCGTATAGGCTATGGGCCACGAGATGCTGAAGTCGCAGAGTTTGTCAAGGAGTTTTCCTTTGTACCCTTGGGGTTTGTACCCTTGGGTTTGGGTCCCTAAATCATGGAATATGGCCCTTGATAAGGGTATTTGGGACCCAGAACCTGGGGGTACAAACATTAAGGGTACAAACTTAAAGTCTTTGAGTTTGTGTTGCTCTCGTACGGTTTCTTTCAAGCTTGGGCTCCCGGAATATATTACTTTTTGCACACCTAGGTGCTGCAGTGTGAGATAACAAGCGTGTCTCACATGGAGAAATACTGCAGGAGCCTGAATACTTGCCAATATCATAATGAGGTCTACTTGAGGTACCCTATTTAGGAATTAGGGCTTAGGGACCATAATCAAACAAGGAGTCTAGGACCACAACATTGGTAATAAGCGCAATAACGCCCTGTATGAATCAGTTTCCATGTCATGTTCTACGTTTCAGTTCATTTGTGTGTCCACTATCCATAAACCCCCGAACAGCACTCTACATTAATCCGGCACAGCGACCTCAAGGCAGAGGTTTCATAATTTCCCAATACGGAACCCTAAGCCCTGAACCCCAAATACCAGACCCTAAACTCCAAAACCCGAAAATCCTAATCCCCAAACTCTAAACCCTAAGTCACCTAAACCCTGAGGCTTTTGCAGCGTGCTCCCCATTTCTAAGGTCCTAAGGGCTAGGGTTGAGGGTTCGGGGTTTAGGGTTTAGGGTTTGGGGTTTCAGGTTTAGGGGTTCGGGTTTCGGGTTTGGGGTTTAAGGTTTAGGGTTTAGGGTATAGGGTATGGGGTGTAGGGTTTAGGGTTTGGGGCTTAAGGTTAGGGTAGGGCTTGGGTTTTCTGAGGCTACCCTCATTGAGAGAGAACCTCGGCCTGATGCCTAAATGCTTTTGGTCCCAGCAATGTCAATAAGTGGTGGCCACTAGGGAATATGGAAATGTATTATATGGGTTTAGTTCAGGGTTTAGGGTTTATATGGGGAGTAAATAGGGATTATATGGCCTTTTTCCCTAATCACTAACAACCAGAAAGATGAACGCCTTAAAAGCACTCAACCAATGGGCGAGCCTCTTTGTGAAAACCTTTCAGGGCGTACCCTGGCTCAAAAGCTCGTATCTCCCTTCTATAAACGTTAAAACCCCTGAGAAACCGGAACCCTAGAATCCAACTCCTATAAACCCTGAAGCTAGACCCTGTGGACCCTTAACCGTACAGACGCTTCGACCCCAAACACTAAACCACCCAAAACCCAGAACAGCACGGGCTCGCACTGCGTAGGTCGGGATTGGAAAAAGCAGCGGAGGCTCCTCCTCGCTCTCCGAGGGGCTTTACTGGGACGCCAAGGGAAGCTGCCCTGAACCCTGAACCCTGAACAAACATGGAAGCTCACATGGCCCTTTTCCCAAGCGAAAGTAGTCTTTAACACATCTTTTCTTGGGCTTTCATACTAGTTCAGTATGACCCAAGTACAGCGCAGAATGGAGAAACCCGTAAATAACTCAAATGGAAACTGGAGGTTTCGGGATTAAAGGGTTAAGGTCTAGGGCCAGGCGTAACTACAGCTAACCCAATTGCTACGTCCCCTGAGTCCGCCAAGTAGGGTTTTTTGAAGGCTTCCTTCGCGATAATCCTAAACCCTACAGGAAGAACTGAGGTGAGTCTTGGATCCTAGACCATTTGTACCCCTTTATAACCTAATGTAGTTTTGTGTAAACCTCATACAACTACTCTGGCTTACCTGAAACCCTAAGCCCTATAAACCCTAGACCCTGAGGGTTTAAGGCCAGCAAATAGACCCTAAATGTTCATATGAGTAGTGCTTTTTTGGTGGTTAAACCTAGTAAGATTATATTCCTTACTTAAAATACTATACACCAAAAGGAGGATATAATCTTACTCTATATTGGGTACCATAGTATCCCCCAAAAAATACTACTCACAAGGCATCCTTGAAGGTGGGATGGGGTAGTCTGGGGGACCCGAGGTTCTGTGGGGCTAAGTTGTACGGAGTTGCGAGGTCCCTGCTATGGTTTATGCAGGGCCTGCAAAAGACTCCTTGGTTTGGGTTCTGGGTTCAAGGTCTAGGGATTTAGGGTTTTGGGCTCAGGGGTGTAGGGTTTAGGGTTTTGGGGTTAGGGGGTTGAGGTTCATGGATTGGGGGGCTAAAGGCTATCAGCTTCAAGGGTTGGTTGATCGGGGATGTAAGCGCTGTGCATTGGGCGTAAGGGTTTGGGGTATAAGGTTGGGAATTTGTTGTTCAGATGAGCTTAGGGCTTTACAGATCCTAGAGTTTAGGGCGCGGGCCAAAGAAACACAAAGGCACTGAGCACACAGCCGGAATGACGTTAGCCAGATAAACCTCTGCACCACGTGCTAAAAATCCTGAACGCCGTTGACCCCTAAACCTATTTTGAAGCCACACACGCCTCAACAACTGAAGCCCGCACACCCAGCCCTAAACCCTAAACCCCAAACCTATACACACACATATATATATATATATGCATATCCCTAGGTATCCCTTGAATGGGACCCAGTTATTGGGTACATGGACTCTTAGAGTTCAGGGCAGCGTAAGCACCCCGAAACCTTGGAGGCCGAAACCGAAACCGAAACCGAAACCAACTAACCGGCGCAACCTAGGCAATGGGTGGGTGGCAAAGTAGGCCTTGTAGACACCCCAGCACACATATATATATATATATGTCCCCTTACATAGATAGAATATGGCTTTAGGTGTATTAGAAAGGATCCCCATGTACCCCATATTCTATCAACTTAAGGGGACTCTCCCTCTCTCTCTCTCTCTCTCTCTATATGTAATATGTAGCTCCCATGCTGCCGTGCCACGTCAACTGCACATCCCTGGAGCATGAACTGAGAGAGGCATTGACACAGGAAATCCTAAAAGTGCTGAACAAAATCAAAGTTCAGGGTCCTTCGGATTTAGGTTTAAGGTTTGGTTAGGGTCCAAGGTTTCCAGGAGCCAGCTTAGGCACTCCCACGCAAACTATTAGTGACTACGAGGGATAATGGTAGTAATTTTCGGTTTCTATATCTTGCTACGATACCGAGGGCTTAGCCTAACCAACCATCTTCATCAACAAGTGGCCAACTTTGTTTGCAGCATCTGGCCCTCAACGCAGAATTCCGAACTCCAGATTCAATATGCTTTTAGGACGATGCACATCGTACAAAATCGTGCAAATAGGAACGCAAAACTCGCAATCCTCAGATGGTCCTTCATGGGGGGTCGCTCAAAGTTGTGAATCCCTTCTGCAGTCTTCATGATGCAACCATTTTGTCCGCCTTCCCTCGAAGGCCTGAAATTTTGATCAAGCCTAACTTAAAAGGACTAACGGGCCCAAGAACGGAACCTCCAGAATATGTAGGAATATACTAGGAATGTAAGGACCCTGGTAGGTATACATTCCCATTCTGTTCCTACAAAATTCTTGGGTTCCCTGTTTTGGGGGGGGGTTCCATTAAAGTCCCTGTGACTACTTTGATAGGCTATATTATGATAGGTTATAATCTGAACTCCTGATGTCCCCCTAAATAAGCCCTATACTCCCCTGAATAATCGCCTAAATCATCCCCTTTAAGGGGCTAAGACCCTAAACTCTCAACCCTATATAATCCCCTACATAACCCCCCTTTAAGGAGTTTAGACTCTAGACTACGGCTCCTATAACCCCTGTCTTGGGGGGTTCTCATGAAAGGTCCCTCTATGACTGCCTTGCTGCCGCGTGCCCGGAAGAAGTCCGAAACTGCACGCGCGGGGCCCTGCGCAGAGAGCAAGCTCAAAACAGGTTTCCCTAAGGGTCCATGTACCCAAGAATTGGGTTGTAGAGCCCAAATAGGATAAAATAAATGGTAGGGATACATTGGGATCTATAAGGTGTAGGGTTTAGGATTTAATGTTCATTGCATGTTTTCTTTTTGGGGCTTCCGGTTCAAATGCTTGAACGATACTGGGATAAGGTGTAGGGATTTGGGTCCAGAGTTTAAAAAAAATGAGGGTCCTCAAAATGTTGGATCCTGATTGGTGTCCCCGCCCAAACGAACTTCCGTAGGACGGATCAACTCAGGTGAGGACTCATCAGGATCAGAAGGCCAGGAGGTTTTAAGCAAGGAGTCACGAGCTTCGAGGGATTTCAGGGAGGTTTCAGAAGGATGTCACAAGGGCTGGAGATGGTTTAGCAATCGAAGTATCTTTATCCTGCCTCATTTCTCTTAAACATAACTCGGGCTGCGCAACTTCGCACAGATCAGCACCCTCAAGCGAAGCGGAGGGTGCGGAATAATTTCGACAAACTTCGCACAAGTCAGAACCTACGCAATAATTGGGATTTGACATTGATGAGGATTGTGGTCTTTGGGTGCGACAACTCGGAGGGAAGTATGTAGCGGTATATGTTCATTGGGTACCTGGACTCTGCCAGGTCCCCGTAGAACTTTCTTGTAACAAGGACCTGAATCCCTGAACTCCAAATTCCAAACCCTCAAGCCACATGGTCCCTGGCTTAAAGTTAGAACATATTCCATAAAGGTCCAGCCTAAACCCCTATACATCCCCTATTGGTCCCTCCCTAAACCCTAAACTGAACGAACCAACCATGAACAGAATAAGAACGCAGCCCTGCAAGCATGGGGGCTTTGTGCCAAGGCAATGAAGAGGCTTTTCTGCGCATACGACGCGCAGATAGGTCCATGACTCTCATTTCGAATGTCAGGTCGTGGGACCTCACCTGATGGCCTGCACTTGAGGCAGTGGCCCTGGCGGACTCAAGGGAGCCAGTTGTTCCTGCGACAATCCAACAGGTCGCTGATGGCGGACCGCACACGGTCTGAGAAGAAGTGCTTGTCCCCAATGCGAAGTGCAGACAGGGCCAGCAGCCGTACTTCGAATGCGTTCATGAAAGTCATGCCGGTCGGAACGGACTCGTCAAAAGTCCGGCCAACCAATGTCAGGAGCTCCAAAACACACTCAATCATCGGCTCCTCGGGAGGAGGTCGGTCGTCGCCTCCAAGTCTAATCAGGTCATGAACAATCTGCCGAATCACCTTCATTGTCAGAAGGCGCTCCAAGAACAGATGTCCCGTAAAACCTACAATTGCAAGCATCCTGCGCTTCTTGTTGGCGAGGTCCTCTTCCAAGGCCTCAGCACTTGGAAACTTTGCCTTGTCCTCTTCTGATACCTCAAAAGTTTCTGGCGTACTCTCATACTCACGCTGCAAAATGTTGAGCAGCAAACGCGTGACAGTCACAGGCCTGTCACCCTCGTGTTCGGGTGGAAGCTCGGGGCATCGCTCCTTCAGACCAGCAGCCATGCGCGCATAGGTTCTGCCGTGGGCAGGCTCTACCATGGCTTTATGGAAAATGACTTGGAGAATACACGTCAACTCTTCTTCATTACATGGTTCGATGCCTGAGAACTGATTCATAATGTTTTCGCGGCCGTCGCTGTTGACCGAACTGATCTGGTCCAGCATACCTTGGGCAAGACGCCTAATCCAGATGCGGTACCTGACCAAAGCTCGAAGGATTTCCCCTTGCCGCAACTTCGTTTTTGAAACCGTCCACGCCATCTGTGCTTTGCCCAAAACTTTACCATCCTCTCGGACGAAGTGACTAATGGCAACTTCCAGCTCGTTCTCCGCTGCCTCCTTCACCTGGGAAGTTCTTAGAGATGGTCTTTGGGGAAATGCAGGGTCTGTGGGGACTCTATCGGCATCCTACCAAATTCTTTGATAAGTAGCCGCCTCCTCGAGGGTGGTCTCAGGCTGCACCGGCAGCTGGATTTTCTCACCACTCAACAATGCCACCTGGACCATCTCACTGCTATCCGTCCCCATCTGCACTACACTTCAATGTTAGCCGATGTAGCCGCCTCTGCTGAAACCCCTTGCATGACAGGATTCGTGTTCTATGTATGTAGGTATGTAGGCCTGCTTGGAGGAAAGCTTCTGACAGAAATCAACGTTTTGAAGTATGGGGCGCTTCGGAGCGCTTAACCTTCGACTCTCGATCTGAGGCACAAGCAATGGACCTGCATCTTGGGGCGTTAAAGTGCCAAAAACAGGTTTAAAGGCGTATGCTAGGGGTGCCTGGTTACAGAAGATATGCCCCCATGGAAATGGCTCAGGAAACTTCAAAATAGCAAGGTCATGCCAACCAGAAAGGTCATGAAGAAACAGAGACACATATCGGCTCAGAAATTTTAAGCCCCTAAACCTACAGAATCCGTAGCTCACAAGGCCTGGGCATGATGAAAGAAGTCATCCACAGCCACGGCGCCACCGGGTGATAGTCGATCCCAGACCTTCAAGATTGCGGTTTTGGGTTTGGGTTGAAGGTCTAGGGTTGAAGTTTAAGGGCTGGAGGTTTAGGGAACGGAAAATCTCATGGAAAAAGCAGATGAAAGATGAAATGGCAACCATCTAAGATTTAGGGTATGTAGAATTTACTTGCTGGTTGTTAGCAGGGAATGAAGGAATGGAGAAAAGAATGGCAACAAATTACCAAGCGTAGGCACACATTCCTCCATCCCCCACAAAAAGCAGCGTAAACCCGTGGGGCCTCTCAAGGCCCTCCCAGGGGCTTCCCAAGGCCTGCGGGTGGCTGGCGAATTCTGGCGAACCAAATATGGCTGCTCCCAGACCAATTGCGGACCAAAACTGCAGCCGTTTCCTGGACCAATTCTGGCGTCGTTTCCAACCACCCCAGACCAAAACAGACCTGCGGACGAAAACTGCAGGCGTTTCCTGACCAATTCTGGTGTCGTTTCCAACCGCCCCAGACCAAAGTGGCTGCTCCCAGACCAATTCTGAGACCGATTCCAGACCAATTGCGATCGTGTCCGAGCAGCCGCAAGCCGCAAGCACAACACATTCCGCAAAGAAGGTCGAACCACACCTCGAGCGCCGCTTTCCTGTCCGAGCAGCACGAACCCAACGTCTCAAGGCAACCTCGAGGGCCGCATTCTTCAAGCGGCCGCGGACGTACGCCGACACAACAGCCTCACTGAAAGCCAGCATTGACCATTCCGCATCGAGAGTGCGGCTGTCCCACGGCCTCTGGCGTCCCCCGGACCAAATTCGGACCATTTGGCTGCTCCCAAGCGGAAGTACCGCCACGCAACAGCTTCACAGAAAGCCAAGAATGACCATCACCATTGAGAGCGTGGCTGCCCCATGTAGCCTCGAAAGTAACCCAACATTGCGTCGCGAACGCTTGGCCGAGCCTGATAATGTCTGAAGCCAACCTCAAGCGCCGCCGTATTCAGGCGGCTGCGGCATTGCCCTGACACAACAGCCTCGCAGAAAGCCAGCACTGACCATCGCCATTAAGAGCGCGGCCGTCCCATGCAGCCTCGGAAATAACCCAACATAGCGTCGCGTATGCTAACCCATGCTGACCCCAAAACAGCCTCACAAAAAGCCAACACTGACCCATTACCATGGGGAGCGCGGCTGCGCCGCGCAGCTGCGGCACGCAGCCTCGGAAGTAACCCAACATCGTGTCGCCGCGACCGCTGACGGCCTTGGATGTCACCCTATTCGGCAAAACAGCCTCCCAGAAGGCCGGAGCCTCCAACTGCATCGCGTCTTGCCCGGTCCCCGATTGAATGGCGGCCCTCGTCGGTGCTGCCTGGGCCCCCGCCGGGACGCCCTTGAGACTTTAGAAACTTCCAAGCCCTAAATTGCTTGAATTCAGGGTGCTCATGGGGTGGGTGGAGTGCTACGCACCGGTGCGAGCGGCCTGGGTGTGTCCCCACACTAGCAAGCACTCTATGCCGTGAGAAAACCCTATTCCCAAAAGGGCCTAGGAATAAGGGTTGGTGGTGCGGGGATTTTGATTCTCATGGCGGGCTTAAGGTCTTGGGATCTAGGGCCTAAAGGGATGACCTGGGGTGTAGGTTTCAGGGTTTGGGGATTAGAGTTTCGGGTTCAGGGTTTTCAGTTTAGGACAGAGGTATACCCCGCAACAGTTTTCAGCGCTCCGTAGCAAGAACCCACATGCAGAAGACACAATACAATGCTGCAAGGCCTGAGGCTCGTACTAGTCATCTGGGTTTAGGGATTCGGGCTTTGGGTTTAGGGTTCAGGGTTTCTAGGCTTACCAAGTAAGATTCAGTTCCTCTTATGAACTGCCATACCCAAAAAGGAAAATGATCTTAACCTGCCACCCGTAATTACAAGAGACCGACCCTTTCACTTGCTGGTCGCTGATAGGGAATAAAGGGGCGGAGTTTGGAATATACTCTTTCGGGCATAAGGCATGGCAAAAAACATCGAAGCTACTATACTGTAGGGTATATAACGGCTAGCAGGACGACCCATTTCTCCGTTCATTCCCAACAACCGGCAATTGCAAGGGCTTGTAGGAACATACATCCAAGCCACAAAGTTTGCAGGTATTTTGACATTTTGACACTTCAGGCATTTGAGTCACAACCATGATCCCTAAGCACAAAATACTGAGTCCTGAACCACGGGTTGTATGCCCTCGAGTCTAAAAAAACACCCAACATCTAAAGCCTGAACCCTTAACCTTGGCGTTGCACGTCCCACCTTCTCCAGCGAGTCATAAACGGACTCATACAGATCCGAATCCATATGCACAAAGGCAAAGCTTTCCTGGCAACTTGCTTGGATGCCCAGGGTAGTTATCAGGTCGTGAGTGTGGCGGAGACACATCTGGGCTTTGATTGCCTTGAACCTTCATGCACGGCGGTTGCCCTAAACCCTAAACCCAATGGCTTATGCAGCTATGCAGGAATGCAAGCTAACCCTATACGACGTGCCTGTTCCATCAAACCCTTTCCTTTCAGCTAACTTCGGGTTCTTCTTGTGCATTTGGCCAGCTGGGACAATGGGACCCTAGGTAATATAGCGGTTTCCCAAAATAATGGGTACCATTTTGGGGGTCCCATAATAAAAGTTGGGGTATCATGTTGGGATGGCCAAGGGATAACGGGTCTCTCCAACATTCAAAATGTGGGGCTTCGACGATGAAACCGGATGGAATACCGCGAAACTTTCTCCACGACGTAGTACCGTAATATAAAACAAACAGAACAGTAAGGAGATTCTGTCAGGTGGAACCTGGAAGTCATTGGGACGCTAACAAAAAAAGGAAGACAAGTCTGTGAGCCTCTACGCCGGCGGATGAACTTGTTACTGCTTGTTTCTTGAAAAGCTTTCGAACCCTCAGCCTAAACCCTAAACCCTACACCCTAAATAGTAGCTTGCATTTTCTTTACCATTTACCCAATAAGACCCCCATATCACACTAGTATGGTAGTTTCCCAGAAGAGGGGGACCCCATTCTAGACCCCAAAATACTATAGTCCTTATTATATATAGGGACCCCCAAAATGGTACCCCAAATTTTGGGAAACCCCCCATATAACCCTAATATGACCCCAATGTGATTTCTCTTCCAACCCCTCTTCCAAGACCCCCTCACGCAAGAGCTTTTTTTCAAACCAGCTTGGTGGACCCGTTGTTGTTTAGGGTTTAGAGTTCAGGGTCTAGGGTTGAGAGTTAGGGTTTAGAGATCAGGGTTTAGGGTTTAGAGTTCAGGGTTTTTTTTTTCTTATGGAGTCATTTCTCCACTCCATGGGTTTAGGGTTCAGAGTTTAGGGTTTAGGGTGTGTAGCCGTGTGCGCGCGGTGCGTGCGCCTTTTCTTTAGAGTGAACACTATTGCTCGGTGGCGTAGCTCCATCGTCCAGCACCAACCAGCCAAACTATTCTCAATTAGGGTTTAAGGTTCCTACCCCGAACCCCCCCTGCAAGGGGGGCTTGCTTGCCCGTCTGTGGGTTTTTGCGGAGGTACGAGTATGTGGATTTCGAGGTGCCGCTTGATTTAACATCTTGAAAAAGGAAAGATCAGGAGGCTCTTGAAGATGTGGGTCGCTCGCGGCCTGGCGGCGCTCGCTCCGTGCCTGCGGTGTCAATCAAACCGATTTTTTGGCCGCGCATGGAGATGCGGGCAGCGTGCCGCCGCACGCCGCCGAAATTAAGCCCCTCGGCTTTGCAAGGTGGTGTGGGTGAGTGCCGCCGCACGCCGCTGAAGTTACCATTGTGGACAAAATATGGGTTGTGAGGCGTGGAAACGTGAGCATTTCTTTGTCTCGCAGGGAGGCGTGGGTAGCGTACTGCCGCACGCTGCCGAAGTGAATGAGACCTCTTGGCTCGCAGGGTGGTAGGGGTGGTGTGTCGCCTTTGCCGCTGGAGGCGCATGAGAAGGCCCTGCCCCAAATGAGGAAAAACGTGGACAGACCCTCCCTCACTGCAGCTGTAGAGACGCTCGGACAGGGGTCCTCGGGGTGTGCGGCTGGTCAGCTGCGCTTTCGCCAGTTTAGAGTATAGGGTTTAAGGTTTAGAGTTTAGGGCGTCTACCTGCGCAGGGCTGAATATCCATGCACCGATGGCGCCACCCCACTTCCAGGGATCTGTGGGTGGCGGCACCTGTGCCCAGCAAACCTCGTGGATGTTGCCCAAGAAGCCATCGAAGCTGGGCCTTCTTCAAAATCCCCACTTGCTGTGAGACATCGCAGTCCGGGAGTTTTGGCCTAGTGGGGTGGCTGGAGGCAGAGCTGTACCTCCCGATGTACGGGAGGAGCCCGGAGGGGCTTGTGCGGCTGTAAAGGCTGACGTGTTTCTTCAGTGTCTGACCACCCTAGTACCAGGTGGGAACGGCCTAAGCAGGCCGGGTGGGAATTTAGAGTTTAGGGTTTAGGGGTTAGAGTTTAGGGTTTAGGGTTCAGGGTTTAGAGTTTAGGCTTTAGGGTTTAAAGTTT